TGAACTCTTGTTTGATGCCGTGTCTTCGGCAAACTTCCGCAAACTGCCCCTGGAACTCGCCGTCACCGTCGGTACGTGCGATATGAACCTCACACGGAACCCCTTTGGTTCGGTAGTCCGCCAGGAACTTCTCAAACCCAACCGCTGCGTCAGACTGTTTCAAGAAGAAAACACGCGTCCAACGGGAGAAATCGTCTCTGATGATCAGTGTGTGCCAGTTGCCACCAATGCTTCTGGTTTTCATCTTTTCGGCCAAGTCGAAATACACGCGAAATAACTTCTGAACTGCGCGTGTGCTCGTGCTCTTCTGGACGGCTTTCACCTATCCCTTGGACATCGAACAGCCAGGACAGGGTAGCAGCGGTCCATCCGTCAGCTGCACTCCCTGCTGCTCCGCCGTGATCCTGAGCAATGTCTCGTGGGCATGGCCGTGCGCGAGGTGGTACTCGTTGAGGTCAGTGGGGTTGGCTGCTTTCGCATCGCCAGGAACAATGAGTGCGGCACAGGCGGTGTGTAGCGTTGGCTTTATTTGATAGCCTCGTTGGGTCAGCAGCTTTCCAGTCCGGGGGAACCACACTTCCCCCCCGGCTTTCGTGGTCAGCGTGAGGCCCCCCTTCATCCCCGAATACGTGTGGCCCTCCTCCGCCAACGAAGACAGCGAGAGGAGGTTGTAGGGGGCCTCTGGTACATGGGCAGCATTCAGTACTGGTACGGGTACTCCACCATCTTCCGTCTGTAGGACTAAGGTCACATCTCCGTATCCTAGAAGAGGAACGGGGGCCATGTCGCCTCCGATCCCCTTCACCCAACCGCTACGCTCACGGTAGTTCACGAAGTTGTCTGCACATCGGAACATGGAGCACGTGGCCGCTGTGTCGGCCACGTACACCTCCTGGCCTTGTTCCACAACCCCCACTAGACCTACTTCACCAACGGTACCACACTCGCCTGGGGGGACTGCCACGGCACAAAACGCCTGGTCTTCCACGGAGTCCACGTCGCTCTCATGCTCCACCACTTGCGCTAGGACGGCCTCCTCCGTCGCGCACTTTTCTTTGGTTTGGCCCCACCCCTCGCAGCGCGTACACCACGGCACG